AAATAAATTTTTTTTTATATTTTTTTTAAATTTCTCTTTTTTTTTTTGTTTTAATAAGAGTAAAATTTTTGTAAGAGTAAATTTTACCTTGGCGTTTTTATCGTCTGCTACTTTACTTCATTAAATCGAATTGTCTAAAACTGAGAATTTTCGCTTGATGTTTTTGAATTTATGCATTAACTGCACAATTGTGTTTCTAAACAAAATGATGCTTTTGAAGTGGCTGAAAGAGCGGATGGTACTATCATCCATATTTTTAAAGCACAGTATATTTTTATAGAAACATAAGATTTAGAATAATCATTTTTATAAAAAGTCAAATTATGATATAAATATACAACCCTCTAGAGACGATAATGGAAATTCAATGGTTATGCAGAAATGATCTGCAGCTCTTAATCGCTGGATAAGTCAGCAGATTCCGTGGACAAGTAAGAATAATTATATAAACGACACCCAACATTCTGAATTCAACAACGAGGATACGATGTTTATTAAATGAATTCAAGAGTTTATAAATAAAAATCAACTCATTTTTATCCTAAAATGTATTTTTGTGCATGCGATTTCATTATTCTAATTTGAAATTCTAATTATTCTTAAAATTCTAATTAGAATGTAACTGTCAATAACTAATTCTAATCAGTAATATAATAAGTAATTATTAGGTTTTAAAATCCTTCTTATATAGTAATTGCAAATATTTCAAAAAAAACTTTTGTCTGAATGCAAATATTTTGTGCAAATATTTTTAATTTTATATTAATCAGATGCACACGATTTATTTATTTGCACTTCAATTCTAACGTCAGTTCTAGTAGAATTACCAAATCATTATAATTAAGGATTGGATTTTAATTATGGCAAAGCGCACGAGGGCTATCTGCTAAAGGGAGGGATGCCTTAATGGAGGACTTTCTAAGGGAACTGACTGAAAACGTTACACATCGGGAAACCACGAAAACACCCATGCAACCACCTGTTCGCGGGATCGAACTTAGGACGAACTACCTGTGATCAGAGTCTTTACCGCTCCATCCTTTGTGGGCCTTTATTGAAATGGAAGGCGATAACTTTTTTAAAATGATTGTCAAATACCAAAATGTTTCGAAAATTGGATCTTTTTAACATACTTTCAGAATGCTTAAAGAAAAAGAGAAGAAAAATAAATGTTTTCGTAAAATTTAGTATTTGTTTTTTTAATTTAAACTTTTCAGTGTTATGATATTTGATTCTTGCGATTTAAAATAAAATTTGGAACTAAAATTGAATACATTTAAAAACCAATGTAGGATTAAAATTGTGTAAAGCAATGGGCACAATGATAAAAACTGTTAAAGCAGTGTATCAAGTCATCCTAAGTTAAAAATGTCGGTTATACATTCTTATTTTTATATATATTTTTCTGAAGGAACTTGAAAGGCGTAAAACTGTGCTTTACTGTATTTTCTTTAATATAGTATGCAGTTTCAAACTCATCATAGTCTGGGTTACAAAGTATTCTTCCGAAAGAAACGCAGTTCCAATAAATAAAATCAATTCTGGAAAATTGTATTAATAAATATATTTAAAATGCCTCAGTTCGAAGGAATAAATAGAAAATTTTAAAACATTATCTGAAGAGACAATGCAACACAAAAATTACATAAAAGTATAAAAATTAAAAATACCTAAAATAATATATGACGAAAATATATAAAGAAACTATTTAGGAAAACAAAAAAAAAAAAAAAGTGCAACTTAAACAATTAATAAATTCGAAAAGAAAAAACTTAAATTACTATAATTAAAATATAAATAAGAATATTATTTAAAAGGACGATGGTGACTTTTTTCCTCACATGGAAAGAACGGTTGCCATATATTAAGAGTTGCCAAGTGAAGTATTCTTGCGCAAACTGACAAAAAGTGCCAACATAATTTGGGAATTTCTCCGTAAATTTCGTCCAAATTTTACAAATTCAATTTAGGCGTAATTGAGCGTATAATCGAAATATAAAAAAATGGTATGTTTTCAAAAAAGTCATTTTGTGTCAAAATACCTGTTAGAATATGCTATATATAAATCTAATATATATCTTAAGTCGCGCGGACTGAAGAACCGCAATTTGAATTTTGTCAATCGGCCCAGTAGATCGGGAGATATAGGACTGTCCCATTTTTTTTTTTGAGCAGTGTACCTGGCTCTAAAATGCAAAGATTATTGGAATTTGACCATATACATTTGTTTGCTATGCAAAAATTGAATAATTCATTAATCATACACACCAGTGAAGATCAATTTCTGCAAGGGCAGCAAATTTCATATGTGTTTTAATGTCTTTGGCTATAAAATATGTTTTGTTCTACCTATGTTACGGTGTATACTCTGGGAATAATAATAAAAAGGGGTTATTTCCGGATATTGATTACATTTATACTAAATTAGCTTTATAAATAATCTCAAAGATGGAACAACACAAAAAAAAAATGTAAAATTCCACACTTAAAAAATTTAGAATAGAATTTTGAATATATTTTTTCCATAAACTAGCTTTGTCTTTAAAATAACATACCAGTCACTTACAAGAAACAAGTTCACAGAAATCAATTTTCAACTGTACATTACTAGAAATAAAGAAGTATGTTTTACCTCTGAACACCACGCATATACATACTGTTTATATGTTAGTGAAACAGAAAAAGAAATATGCAGGGTGTTTATAATTTATTCACCAGATAAAGATATGTTTTAAATAGTAGAGAATAAGAGATACAGAAAAAAGATTGACAGAATTTTATTCAGTACCTCAAAGAATTTTATATTAATACACTCCAAGATGAGCACTACTAGTTGCTCAGAGAACATAAAATATTAAGACACAATAACACACCAAACAAATACTAATTCAGAAGTCAAACAACAAAAATCAGCGTTATATTTTCAAATTTCACCACCATTCTCAGCTGCAAAAGCGCAAATGAACGAGATAGGATATAAAGATTAGATAGCTTCTTTCATCCTTAGCTATAGTTGGAACAATTTTGCAGAATTTACTTTCGGGTCGTTATTCTCCGTCAATAAAATCGGAGTCCATATCAGGACCCATTCCGGATATGAATTCCTGGGTATTTATAGATCCTGCCAGTGCGGTTAATTTACATGGCACCAAATTATTCAAAAATCTTCATTGAGAACTGGATTTTCTGAGGCATTTCACATTCAAAGTCTTTTGTTATAGTTAACGATCCAATTCCAATCCACTTTGCTTTGCTTTTAAAGAAATTTGTTTAGTTCTGGTTTCATCAACAGATGTGCACTAGCGTTTTTTCGTCCAGGCATTTCTTATCATACTAATCATTATATCTATTCGCTCATTTGCGTTTGCAGCTGAGGAGTTGTTTTGTAAACCATCTACTAGTCCTGTGAAAATTTTAAAATATAATGCTGATTTTTTTTGTTTGATTTCTGAATTAACATCAAGTCTGTTCTTGATTTTCCTCCCAATGTTTACATTTACAGATTCATAATAGTTGTTGCTAGGGTGATTCAATTGTTTAATTCTTTAATTGATACTGCAAATCTCTGCAGCATAAATTAGTTTCTAGAAAAAGAAGTCAATTGATGTGATGTTCGGAAAATGGGATGGCCATGAAATTGGTCCACCTCTACAAATCCAATGATCTGGAAATGTTTCATCAAAGAAATCACACACATGTACAGCCCAGTGACAGAAGTCCCATACTGTTGGAAAAAATGTTTGGGTGCATTTCTTCTGAATGCAGTACAGCAATCTCAGTATATCAAAGTAAACATCCAATTTAATTGATGACTTTGAGAAAAAGAAGGGATCGATCAATTTATTATGAGTTAGTGCACATCAAATATTAATTTCAGGGCTACTTCCCTCAATATCCCTTAAACAATGCAGGTTTTATGATTCCAAAATCCTGTAAAGTCATTTAACCTCTCCTAAAACATGAAATGTTGTTTTGTCAGATTTTCTGAACAAACTGATCATCATTACTGTTAATGTCAAGAATGTCTACAGAAAATTCTCTCTGAATAATTCAACCATTATGTTTGATTTATTACCAAATCTGCAGTTTATATGCAAACAGTTTCAAATATTCAAGAGCAATTTTATGAATAGTCAACCTGGGAATTCCTATCTGCAGGTTGGCACGTGAATGGATTTACTGGGACTGTACACAAACGCATCTCGAATGGCAGAAACATTTTCACCACTGACTCTTGGTCTACCTACACCTTCTTTATGCAAAACATTTCTGATCTCTTGAAAATGTTTTGACTATCATTTAATTGATTTTTCCATTGTTTGGGGTTTATTAAATTCATATTGAAATCACCTTTGAACTGTTTTCGGAGATTTTGTTTCTCAGAACCAGAGAATGCACATTGCTTTTCACTGCATGATGTCATTTCATCTGTAAACAAACAAGTTCCCTGTTGTCATTCTGAAAAATTAGAAGAAGTGAAATTCCTTGAACTAAAGATTATATCAATATAAATTATTTAAGGTTACTTTGTCAAATTACATTTCAATTTTATTTTGTTACCTGGTGATTAAATTATGGACACCCTGTACATTGTCCCATGTAAAGCAAGTGCAGCTTGACTGAAGCATAATTTTTATCCAACTTTTTTGCACTGATGCTCTCTTTGCTGCATTTGTGCCATGAAGAGTTTGGTCTTGAGACACAACACAGCTTAAACAATTTCAACAAATAAAGCTCTTAGTTGATTGCTGCTGGTTGTAATAGTGCATTTTTTTTATACAATAATGCTGTACTTTGTGAAAAAAAAAGGTATGTATCATTGAGGTCATGTTTAAAGTGCATTCTTTAAAGAAACTCATGAAAATTTTTATGAACATTTTCCAGACACATGTGTACTTGTGAAGAGTGTTATTCAGGATTTGAATACAAAATAGTGAGAAACAACTTATTTCTCAGTTATCCTCCTCATGCTTGCACTCCGGAAGAAATTCAAAATATTTAACAGAGAACAGCAGCAAGTTAACAGAAATCAATTATGAATTTATAACAGTGTATCATTATATTTTTTTAAGAGATGAAAATGTAAAATGAACTTAACTACCATAGCATAAAAATTAAAAAGAAAAAAGGAAATTAACTTCTTAAATTTATTTTTGCTTTATTTTGAAGAAGTCATAATCTTTATGAACAAATGTACATCTAATGGATAAAAAAGGAAAATGCATATCTAATGGTTAAGGTATAAAAGAAGCAACGCACACATTTGTTGGCTTAGAAACAGAGTGAAAAATTTGAATATAAAAATAAGAAACAAATTTGAAAAATATGAATAACATACATACTTATTTGAGTTAAATGGACAAGTATACGAAGGCCTATTTTGCATATTGCACTATTCATTTTATTACTGTTAGATGCACTGGTACTGAATATAATTTGCAAAATTCGTGAAATAACATCCTCTTTAACAAACTGTCGAGCAGCATGCCCTTAAAAAGAGAGGGGGAAAGTCTTGTTTATATATTTGACATGATTACATATTTATTAAATCATTACAGAAATTTTAAAAAATGCAATTAGCAATAAAGGATAAATATTTTAAGTTCAAGAAAGTAACAAAAATTTTTAAGAGTTTGGAATAAGAAGTTGAAAAATTATTTTTTTAACATAGTGATTCTTAAAAGAAGTACAAATAATAGAAGTATGATCTTATTACATCCAAATATAAGTCAGGTTTTTTTATCAAATTCAAATCATCTAACTAAAAAAGAAAAATCCACTTGAATTACAGTTTTTTTATTACAAAAATTAAGTTAAAAGAACGAGTAAATCAATTCTTCAGCTCATTAACCGGTAGATATGAAAATGCTTATTAAATTAAATATTTTTGATTTATTTTAAGAAAAATGAAACTAAATTTTGTGGAACCAAAATGAAAAATCTCTTTCCTTCCTTGATAAAGGCTTTTGTTTAACAATTAAAAACTACAGAAGATATCTGCACATTATCTGAGTGATTTTGATGTAATAAAACAGTTATAAGTATTACATTTTAAACACTCAGAACAGAAGCATTTTTTTCTTGACCATTGAGCTGAAACATTTCATCACAAAAGCACATTTCTTAATTTTACTGTAGGCAATATTTTTCTCCCTTTTTTGAATAGTCTGCCAATTATTTTTAGCTGTTTGTAGAAAGCCATTCTTCTAACAGTCTGAAAGCACAGCATTCTATTGGTGTTATAAAAGGAAGTTTTAAACTTCCTTTTATAACACCAATAGAATTTAAACTTTACCAATAACTTTAAAGTTTTCTTCTCCATTCTTTTAGAAATTTAGTTCTAGATGCTGATAAGCGTTTGCGGTATTGTCTTGATAGAGTTTAGCCTTTTTTACACTGGATGAATAAATAACTTAGGTTTACTAAAAAAATAATGCCTTGATCATACAAAAAGTTCATTTTGAAACTTCTTTCAACTCCTCTAATTTTTTGTTTTCCATTGCATGGAAAACTAAGCTGATACAATTAAAAATCTTTCAGCCTTTCTCAATACTTCTGAAACCAAATTTCACAAATCTTCCTTTTCACTTTTAAGATGGTGAGTGGATTATTTTCTGTTACAATCATTCAAATACAGCCAAGACTCATTCATAATCATTTCAAATCTTCATTGATTATACAGTTCGTCTTATTCTTCACCACACAGAAAAAGGTGATAAACTTCTTTTAAAAAAATTTTTTTTTTTACAGTTAAATCATTGTTTTTTGCTTTATTCACAGTAATGACAAGCATTTTAAAAGCTTATGATATTGCTGTCAAGAACATGGGTCCTCTAGTAAGATCACAGATTCCATTTTTAAAATATCACAGGCATATACATTTTTGTTAAATAAACTTTAAATACAAATATGGAAAAATCACAAATAAACAATAGTGATTTATCTTATTAATTTACTTGTTTAAATGAACACAAATTATCCAAATAAATATCAAATACAATTCTGGTTCTGACTCTGATTATGTTTTGAAATTTGGAATAAAAGTTTGCAATATGGGAAAAAACAATGGAATAAAATAACAAATGTATTAATTAAAGGTGCAATAAATGTAAAAATTAATTTAACTACATCTAAAATGCTTAGAAAACTCAAAAGTGCTATTAAGTAATTAGCCAAAATGAAAAATGATACACATAAAAGCAATTTGCTGCTTCTCCATTACCATAATTTGTTTTTAATTAGTTAACTTGACTATAAACTTGCACACTCCCACTATCCACTAACTGTTAATCCAGACCTAGCTCTGTTGTTTCTTGGATTCTAATTATGTGGACATTAAATTTGCAGGCCAAATCATAAAAAAGAGCATTATATTAATCCAATGTTGTTTTTAATATTCACTCTAGTGTGCCAAAGCTAACTGTACTTTGAAATTGTGCTCATTTGCAAAAGTAAAATTTCGCTTACGATTTCTTTTTTTCTCAGGTATGGATAAAACAGCTGAATCTTCAAAAAATAATAATGCTACATAACCTAATGGAAAAAAGAGAGAGAGAGAGAGAGAGAGAGAAACATTTAAAAAAGTCTAAAATCCACAGCACAAATCAATAACCAGATTAAAAAATCTTTAGGTTTTGTAGTGACGGTTATATACATAATGTAAAATTTTTAAACACAAAATACCATAATTTTGAATGACTGAAGATATTTCTAAATTTTTCTATAGAATTTTTTTCAAAAGTATTTTCAGCTCAATCATGTTTATCCCTTACTGTTAGTGTTTTCACTGTAAAACATTGTTTGAAATATCTGGACAGGCAAATTTATCTTAATTACTGACATTAATTATATGATAGAGGCTGTCATTCGTAATCAGCATATACTTCTCTTAGATGTGCTGCCTCTAGCCAATTAGAACTTTATCATACAGAAACTCTACAGAATACTTTTACTATAGTTGGCTCTATGGAACAATTTATATTAGGCTGTAACCATTCGTCATCTGACCACATATGTTCACACAGTAACGTGAAAATAATTTATTCAAAAAACTGAAATTTTTTTTTTATCTCTAGTAAAAATTTTGCAACGCCTTTCTAAAAAATATGACTTTTAAAAAATGCATAACTATGATAACTTTCAAAAACTATTAACAAAAAATAAAATCTATTTTTAAATAACAATAATATAAGATTAGAGCTAATGCAAAATACCTGTTGAAATGAACCAGGGGGAAATGACACTGGTTCACTTTAACAAAATAATAATTTTTAATATTTTTATTTATACTGATGAATTTTTCAATAAAATAAGACATCGAATTTACATTAACAAATTTATCCTTTGTTTTGTTTTTAGTCAGTATTATGTTACACACTGTGAAAAAAATAAATATTTACAGTTTGCGCACCCAGACTATTAATACACTGTTGGATAAACTACAGTATGCTTGTCTATAAAGTTTTTTATGACTTTGTGAACATGAATTTTACAACAATTTTAGCATAACAATCTACATACATTTTATTAAAGCCTCTACCAAAACTGGGAGAATAACAGTTCTACAAAAATGTTACATAATGATGAAATAATAGTAAAAATATATATGTAATCACAGTGAACAAACAATGAGAAGCATAATTACAAATGAAACAAAAAAAAATCTTTAAAACATTTTGAAGCCCATGAAAAGTTATCTCACCCTAACTTTGAGAGTAATTGTTCAAAGCTATTAACATACAGATAGCTACACAGAAACATGCGCTCTTTGAATATTAGTGCTATTTACTCAGTCACATAAATCTAGTCCAGCAGCCAAGCAGAGTACAGTTGGAAAGATAAAATTATGTTTTGAAAGCTTGCTGTAAAAAAAAATTCTTTTCAACGTTAAAGATACAACACGGCATAAATACAAAACTTACGAAAATTAAATAATTTTGTTACATATGCATATTTAGTGAAATGCTCCTTCATAGCTGGTGGTGAACTATAGGTTCGCATGAGTCCTTTATTAAATTTGTCTTTATTTGTAAACCCTTGTTATTTTTATTCACTTAAAATAAATACGTTCTACAGTGAGATTAAAGGAATCTGAAGGATTAAAGATTGAAAGCAAGAACAAATTTCACAAACTACTGCAAGAAAAATTGCTGAACTGCTTTGTGATGCATAAAATAGATTAGTACCATAAATAATTATAAAAAAAGGTGAAAATGATGAAGAGTTAAAAGTGATTTTTTATGTTTATAAACACATGAAAGAAGCATGATCAGAAGCAAATAAAGGATACAAATACTTTAATTTTGTTTCAAAACATGAAATAAAAATAAACAACTTTAGATTTGAGATTTTGTTGAAATGACCTTAACAGGAAAACTGTGTACTGAAATTCCAAACAGTGTAAAGAAATCTAAATTTACTATGGAAAATTTGCTATTAGTAGCAATGAAGCTAAATGAATTTTCAGTTCTGTGAACAGTATTTAAACAAGATGATATTGAACACAGAATATATTTTACATTTAAAGATATTTTTAAAGAAATCTTTAAAAGAATTTAATCCTACATCTTAAGCAAAAATCTTTTGAAAAATCATTATTTGGCCTTAGAACCTCTTACAGGTGTCGTACACATTTCTGCACACAGAAATTAAGTACTTGTAAGGACCATTAATGGAAAAAAAAATTATGGACCTATGAGCAAATGGGAACTGAATAAATTCAATTAAAAATATTCTCTGTACCTAAACTTCACTCTTGTAATACCATACTAAAAATAAAATAGATCTGTAAGTAGGATGCATTATTATGAAACAAAAACTTAATTAGCATAATTATTAATAAGTTTGAGAATAAAATAAACTTTATGGAATTTATCAAGTAGCACTAAATATTTTATAATAGTTTGACATATTTGAAAGAAGATAAGTGTCATTTTATTTACATTTTACTTACAGTTAGCTTTATGTTGATTATTTTTAATGTCTCATTTTGTTACACACTTGCACAGTCTAGAGGTTTAGTAAATAGCAAGTAGATTTTATGTCAAGCAGCATAGGTTAAAATGAGAAGTAAAATCATAATTGGGATCACTCATAACAAAAAAACTGGCTGTTGTCACTGCTGCTGCTTGACTAGAGAGACACCTGCTGATCAGAATAAACCTGAAAGGCCTGATGTAGGTATGGTTGGCAAGTTTTGAAAGTTAGTTGGTCTGTCTGATGCAGTTAGCTTTGTGTAGAGTAATTTTCATTATAACCCAATATACTTTAAGGTTCCAATAAGTCACTAAAGCACCACAGGTGATAAGTTTTTGCATTATTTTAAGTCTCACTAGATGCAAAGAGTAAGTTTCACCTGAAGTTTTACATTTTTGTGCTTTGTCTTGAGACCACAGTAAGAATTAATGAAAGGCAATAACTCACTTTAATATGCAAAGATAATTTTAAGGGTAAGCAGCTAGTTATAAATAATTAAATTAGGTAGTTAGAT